CAGGAAGTGCTGAGGACAGTGTTGACGCCTAACTGGTTTCTTAGATGGAAACAGAGACATTGGACCCTCCTCCTTGCTATGGTAAACCACTCCAGAACAGCCACCGGGTTGCCCAGAGTTCTACGGTCTTCTTCCCAGGAGAGTTTTTAATTGTAAATGCAGACTTGGGAAGGACTTAGACTTTTAAACTGGTTTTTGCTTTTGCTTTTTCCCTGACTCCCTTTGCTTGGAGTCGGCTGCACACCAATAATACGGCATGCTACGATCGGTTTTTGTCCTAAAGGCTTTGCCTCTTTCTTGGCAAAGTTTCTGGTATGGTCAAGCTTGTAAATAACTATTTTTACATTTTCATCTTTTCCATTAATTAAGAGGTTGAAAAGAAGTGCAGTGTAAGAAAACCCAGCATTTTAATTACCTGCAAATTAAGTTACCACAGACTGTAGTGTGTAAATGTTGACAAGGAATTGGATTGCAATCATGTAGCAGAACGGCACCCAGACCGCTGCCCACTAGAGACGGACGCCCATGTAGAAGATCGTGATTTCCAGCCCATGGAGCCAGCATTTGAACCTTGTACAATTAACTTTCAGTTATAATTTCCCATCCACATTTTCTTTGCTCTGTTTGTAGCTGAATTTTCTGTTTTTTAAATCCTCTGTTAAAGCAGAAGGGTGATTATGAGCAGGTCACAGCAGTCCCTTAAAAGCTGGGCCAGAAATTTTCATTAGGTCAGTAATTTAAACTTTGGATCTTCAAAAAAAAAAGGGGGGGGGGGTTAATGATGTGAAGTGAAACCAACTATAAATGATTCTTGCACATGAACTGTCACGTTTAAAATGTGTTTTTTAGAGAGCCTCAGTCTTGTTGATTTCAAACACTTTTCTCTTCTGTGTATTGCTTTTAAGAGAGCCATCAGTTAGCTGTCAGACTCTAGGTTGATACATTTTGTACTTAGCTGTACTGTGTGATATTTTTCATTATTTTAGGACACCAACATGAGACCTGTAATAAAATACGTAATGGGGTTGAAAGCTGGGGAGGAGGATCTACTGCTGTACAGCTAATAAATCATAACGGATTAACAATGCTTCAAACACTGTCTTGTGTGATTCCTGTCTAATGAGAAGCCCAAAGGGGTCCGCATGTGTGGCCTCAGGTGGTACAGGCCTGAGGTACAGGCAGGCTGTGTGGCCACTTCCTCTTTAGCAGATGGGAGGTGATCTTGGCAGATGGTGGGATACCAAGTGCATCTGTTCCAAGTTTTAACTCCCTGAAAGTGTGTGTGTGTAAGTGGATGGACATCTGCCATTCTCCATGATCCACTTTAGGGAGTGGGTTCCCCATGGCCACGGGGGTGGGCCACAGAGCCTAGAGTAGAAGGGGCTGGTGGGGAAGCTCTGTCCTCAGGATCTCTGCTCAAAAAGAGTTAGGATCAGTACCTCAAGCTCTGCCAACAACAGGGGAACAGAGGGAAGCTGGCCAGTCTGTTTGACGGGAGACAGAACAATGAGCAGGAGAGACACCTGGATAGCACAGCTGCTTATTAGCACCACAGGAAGCAGGAGGCAAAGGGAGTTGTGTTAGGAAGTTTACACATTAGTGGAAGGACATCTTGTTTCTGCTGGCCATTTCTGGGCAGACTGCTTTGGCACGGTGAAAGCTTCAGCCAATAATTTTAGGGGTTTTTAACGAATTTCAACTTTCCAGTTTTCAGTGAGAGGTAACACAAAGGACAAGATGTGTGTAGCCTTTGGCTGGCTTGTGCTGTCCATGCAGTCAGATCTCCAGGAAAATATATCATCTGGGGCCTGAAGACTACACCAGGCAGTCAGTATTTCATCTCCATCCCACCCATGGGCTAGCCCCCACAGGGACCAGAGTACCCCCTACTAGAATTCTTTCACTGAGCACATAGCTTTTAATAATTGTTAGGTATTTATAATAGAAAATCTCTGCAGAACAGTGAGATGTTTATCTTCAGCAGAGCCACTCATGTTTAAAAGTTTAAATGTGGGTTTGTTTTAGAGGAAGTGCAAGAAAAGTGACATGCTCATGGGAGTTGGCGGCTGAAAAGGGATTCTCCATTGATAATCCTATGTGACTTCATTAAAACTCTGCCCAGCTGGTGTGGCATTGACGCATGAACCTGGAGGTCACAGTTCGATTCCCGGTCAAGAGCACATGCCTGGGTTTCGGGCTTCATCACCAGTAGGGGGCGTGCAGGAAGCAGCCAATCAATGATTCTCATAATTTGTTTCTATCCTCCCTTCTCTGAAATCAAAAATGTTTTTTAAAAAATAAATAGCCCTACCCAGAATGGCTCAGTAGATAGAGTGTCGGCCTGTGGACTGAAGGGTCCCAGGTTTGATTCCGGTCAAGGGCATGTACCTTTGTTGCGGGCACATCCCCAGTAGGGGGTGTGCAAGAGGCAGCTGACTGATGTTTCTAACTCTCTATCCCTCTCCCTCTCTGTAAAGAATAAATAAAATATATTTTAACACATTGCGTACCGCATAGAAATCTCTAAGACATACGCCAGGGACCGCACGTTTTTGGGCAAACTGCATGTTATTTAAATCATCATAATGCACTTTAGGTGTTGTTTTTCAATAATTATAACATTTTTATTTACAAAAACAAACAATTAAACAATTAAAGTTCCTAGTACTTTTTTAACGTATGGTACTGCGTAAAACATTTTCCTCTATGAAGAGGGACCAAACAAAATTTACATAAGTATCTAGATTCGCTCCTTTTTCCATGGGCGTGAAAAACGAGAACACTCGTGAGCGGTCCTTAATGGCGCGCGAAACATGAGAAAACTGAGCGGTACGAAATGTGTTAAAATAAATATATACATAAAACCTTCAGCAAAAAACCAGTTCTCATTATTACTCCACACCTGAGAACTTACGGGGAAGTTCCCTGGCCTGTCTACAGCACTCTTCCCCACTGTTAAACTGTGGTAGGTACTGGAGTGAGAAAATAATTACATCTAAGTGGTGTTGCCTGTCAGCTGCTGCCCAGCTCTTGTCTTTTAAAACCATCTGAGGGAGCCTTGTGGCAGCGCTGGGCGGTGCAGCCTGGCCTGTCAGCCTGTGCTACTGGAGCAGGCGGGGCTTATTCCTCATTAGGACCTTTTAGCATTTCCTGAGCGCCCACGGAGTGTCATGCTGTCTGGAACATAGGAGCCGCTTGAACAAGCTAAGGCCTCCCCCTCTCACTGAGTCACTCACTGCTTGTTGGAGCGGAGTCCCATGCGTTTACTTGGTCTGTTTGTTTTGTCTCTGTCACCCTGAGTGCCAGCACTTAATGAGGGTTTGTGGCTAGCTCAGCACCCCTGGTCTGATCTACATGCTGATCCTGGTTTCCTTCTCCGTAGCCCCCTGCGTTCCCTGCCAGCACTCACTGGACCATAATGCCCGAGGCCTCCAGAGTCCCCACCTAGGGAACAGCTCCAGCCCTTTGGCAGTCATTCCCTCTTTTAGTTCTCATCCTTGTTATTCTAAACAGGAAAAGCCTAATGAGGTGGCGTTTTTGTGGTTATGTTTTGGAGTCCTAGGGTTGCCATGGTAGACTTGGCAAATGTGAGTGTTCACTGAGTGCCAGGCACTGTTGTGAGCACATCTCTTAATATTGAATCCATACAAGCAGCACTTTGAGATAAGTTAATAGCTCCAGCTGGAACTGGAACTGGAAGCCCAGAAAGGTTAAGTAACTTAATGTCAAACAGCTGGTAAGAGATGGCGTCAGGGCTTGAATTCAGGCAGTCTGCCTTTATAACTTGCATTCTTGACCACTCGGCCGTTGTGAGTTCTCACCCTAAAATCAGTTTGTGGGTTCTATGTGGTCTTGGAGAGAGTTCGATCTTAACCAGCTCTTGACTCCTTTCAAATTGAAAGGCAGCGGAGCAGGACCTCCTCTTGCCTCTGTTGGCAGGAATTCCTAGCTCCCTCTCCAGCTGAGTCCTCCCGTCCTCCGGTCAGCTCTCAACTCTCACACCATGAGCCTGTTGCTTGAGGGGAGAGATGGCTGCCCCCAAGTTGTTAATATTCAGTTTCTCCTTTCCACTTTGTCCCAGTCCTTGGTGGACCTCAACAAAGGGAGATGAGAAGGTGCTCGCACTGTCTCTGAGCCCCAAGGTGAGGAGGGGTAGCTGGAGGTGGGAAAGAAAAACCAAGGAGATTTCTGCCCAGTATCTCTCACCTACTCGTGGTTATTTCACCTGTGCCTAGCTGAGCTGTGGGCAGGGCAGAGAATGTTCTTTATCCATAAGCCATGGAAGGGGAAAAATTAATCCCCTCCTGTGAACCTTCCAAAATCTAGGTCCTTGGTCTTTTATAAGCCAGCGTGCTGCTCAGGGCTGACCTTCTGATCCCTCCCAGCCCTGAAGGCAGTAGCTTTCCTCTCTCCTAGTGGTTCCCCCTCCCCAAGTCCAGGCCAGGGAGAATGCATACCCAGAGGAGGACCCCACCCCCGTGTGCCTGGCCGCCTTTATTATTCACTCCGTCCCTCCCTGAAGCCCTCTGGTTTCAGGTTTTAGTCCCAGCTGGCCCCTGAGCACACACGTGGACTTTCTCGCCTGACCCAGCCTGAACCTGATGAAAGCTGCGGAACCTCTGCCACAGAGAAGGGCGTCACAGCCTCCAGGTTAGAAGTTGCGAGAGATTCCACACCCCTGCTGAACAGATGCCCTTCCTTCCCGCCCCCGTGTTCACCTCCCCAGCTGGGCTTTTCAGGGTACTAACCAGGGTGGGCCGGGGAGGGAATCCCCGAGCGGACAGCACCCCCTGGTGCTCGCTGCAGGGACTGCGGTATGGGGTAGAAGTAGGGGGCTAGAAACCTCTAGAGGTACGGACGCGTGCGCGACCCTGCAGGCCACACCACTCCCACCCGTCGGGCCTGACGGATTAGCTCCTGCGCGACCGGGTGGACGGGCAGTGGGGACTCTGCCTTCCTTCCGCACCCACGTAACCGGGCGACCTCTCCAGGCCCGCGGAGGCGAGGGCGGGGAGGAGCCGGGCTGGGGGCGGCCTGGCAGGAAGCAGCGCGTACCTTCCGCTGCAAGAGGAGCAGGTGGCTGCAGTGCGGCCCGGGGCCCCAGGCTTCCTGTGCGCGCCTGGCAGCTGCAGTTTCTCCTCGGAGCTCCTTGGGCCGCCCCCGCCGCCTGGCCCGGCCCCATGGCTCAGACCCCCGACGGCATATCCTGTGAGCTGCGAGGTAAGCGCCGGCCCTTCTTTGCCTACTTGTCTGGGAGGAAGCAGTGCGGGCCCCCAAACCAGGCCGACCCAGAGCCCTGGGGATGCCGGGCAAGCGTTTCTCTCTGCTCCTTCGGAGGGCTTGCTACCCCAAGATCCACTCCACTCCTTCCTTGCTGGCTCATAGATGAGCCCAGGCCCCTAGCCTGGTATAGACCATGGGCATGAATTGACCTCCATGGGAGGACTAGAGTCATCCAGCAGGTTGCCCTCCCACAGGCGAGATCACCAGGTTCCTGTGGCCCAAGGAGGCAGACCTGCTGCTGAAAACCTGGCTACCAGAGCGGGAGGGTGCTGAGCAAGGCCACGTCCTGGTATGGCAGGGGGCCAGCCTGGGAGGGTGCTGTGGCCCAAGCAGAAGAGCCTTTTGCCCGGAACAGGGTGTCAGGCACTCTCTCCCCCCAGGCGCTGCTGCGATGGAGAGCCTACCTGCTGCACACCTGCCTCCCATTAAGGGTGAGTCCGTCCCGGGCCGGCCACCACCCACCTGGCCCTCCAGCAGCTTCCTTGGCAGGAGGGCTGCAGCACTGTTCGTCTTGTCCTTGGGCTCTGCCCTTCCAACAGCACTGGGCTCAGGCAGCAGGCTGGACTGGAGTCTAGGCCCATCAGGCTCTGAACTCCAGGCTGCACAAAGGACTGGGCTCCCAGGAGGGTGGGGCTCTGGCCTTGGTCCCAGCTGACCCAGGCCCTCCACAGGTGGACTGCACATTCAGCTACCTGGAGGTCCAGGCCATGGCACTGCAGGAGACACCCCCTCAGGTGAAAACCTTAGTACCCGCCTGCCAGGGCCTGCCTTCCCCTCCCCCTTCCCTTCCCCTCCCCCACACATGGAGCCCAGCCAGCCCAGCCCACCACCTGCTCTCCCCAGGTCACTTTTGAGCTGGAGTCCCTGCCTGAGCTGGTCCTGGAGTTCCCTGGTGTGGCTGCCCTGGAGCAGCTGGCCCAGCACGTCGCTGCGGCCATCAAGAAGGTCTTCCCTCACTCCACCCTGGGGTGAGACCCAGCACCTGCAAGGGACTGGCAGGGAAGGGGGGCGGCAGGGGGATGCTCTGGAGACAGTGGGCAGCTTCACACCCCAGAGGCTGGAAGCGCCTTTCCCTTCTCCTTTCTCCCCCTCCTCAGGAAGCTGTTCCGGAAGCCCACGCCCCCCTCCATGCTGGTTCGTCTGGAGAGAAGCAGCCCCTCAGAGGCTACCGCACCCAGTAGCCCCTGTGGTAAGGGCCACGGGGGGCTCCCAGCCCACCCCTTCCTGCAGCCCCAGCCCCCAGGTTTGGAGGTCTCCCAAACTGAACAGAGCCACCTGAGGTACAGCCACCTCCCAGCTTGGGTCTGATCTTCACCATCTTTTGTCTCTCTCCTCCCCCCACCTGACCCTGTCATACCCCTGGCACCTCCCCAGGTGGCTTCTTGGAGACGTACGAGGCTCTGTGTGACTACAATGGCTTCCCTTTCCGAGAGGAGATTCAGTGGGTGAGGGTAGGGCCCTCTCTGGGGGGCTCTGGAGACATCTCCTCCCCATGTGCATTGAGTCCCTCCCTGCTCCTGGCGGCCCCAAGCCAGCTGGAGACACTTTCTTCCTCCAGGACGTGGACACCATCTACCATCGTCAGGGCTGCCGCCATTTCAGCCTCGGAGACTTCAGCCACCTGGGCAGTCGGTGTGTGGCCTGCCAGGACTGGGGAGGGAGGAGGATGCCATGACCCACTTTCCTGAGCCTCTCCATGGAGAGGCTTGAGGTCTGGCTGGAGGACCCTGAGCCCTGCCCCTGCCCCTTCTCCCACCCAGGGACCTGGCACTGAGCGTGGCTGCCCTGTCCTACAACCTGTGGTTCCGGTGTCTCTCCTGTGTGGACGTGAAGCTGGTGCGCGTGTAGGAGCAAGGAGGGGGCGAGGGTGTGGGGACCAGGGTGCAGCCACTGAGCCTCCCCTCTGGTTCTCAGAGCCTTGAGGTCTTGGAACAGATTCTGCACATGATGAGTCAGTCGGCCCACCTGGAGGAGCTGGTGCTGGAGACCTGTGGCCTGAGGGGGTAAGGGAGACAGGGAGGGCTTGAGGAGGGGAGTCCGGGCAGTTGGGATTGGGAGGAGTTGGGAACCCAGAGTCAGAGTGTCAAGCCTGGGGTCTGGTCCCCAGAGACTTTGTCCGGCGACTGGCCCAGGCGCTGGCAGGCCACTCGAGCTCCGGGCTCCGGGAACTCAGCCTGGCGGGGAACCTGCTGGATGACCGAGGTATGGCTGAGCCTGGGGAAGGGCCCGGGGTGCGAGCTGGAGAAGGGGGGACCCACAAGGTTTGCCCCTACCCCCAGGCGTGGTTGCACTCAGCAGATACCTGGAGCATCGTCCTGGAGCCCTGAGGAGACTCAGCCTAGCACAGACAGGGTTGACGCCTCGAGGTAAGTGGAGCCAGGGATGGGGTAGGGCTGGTGGAGCAAGTGTGGGTGGGCCTGAGCCACCCCCTCCTCCACCACCAGGAATGAAAGCTCTAGGCCGGGCACTGGCTTCCAACGCCGCCTTTGACTCGGCCCTGACCCACCTGGATCTTTCGGGAAACCCCGGGGCACTGGGGCCCTCGGAGGACAGCGGGGTGAGTGGCTGTCTTTTAGGGGCAGTGACTGGGGGCGCTGCGGGTAGTGGGGTGTCAGAAAGCTCTGGGCGAGGCGATCCCTGACTCCCTTCCTCTCTGCCATCCCATCCCGCCACCAGGGCCTCTACAGTTTCCTGAGCCGCCCTAACGTCCTGACGGTCCTGAATCTCGCCGGCACCGACACCGCCCTGGACATTGTGAGGAGGTGGTC